ACTTCTTCTTTACCAACTTGGATGACTTCTATTTCTTTTAGTTATGTGATTGCTGTGGCTAGGACTTCCAGTACTATGTTAAATAAAAGTGATGAGAGTGGACAGCCTCGTCTTGTTCCTGATCTTGGGAGAAAAGCTCTAAGCTTTTCACCATTGAGTGTGATATTAGCTGTGGGTTTTTCACATATGGTCTTTATTATGTTGAGGTATATTCCCTTTAAACCTACTTTGCTGAACATTTTTATCATGAATGGATGTTGTAGTTTGTCAAATGCTTTCTCTGCATCTATTGAAATGATCATACAGCTTTATCCTTTCTCTTGTTAATATGATGTATCATGTTGATTTATTTACATATATTGAACCACTCTTGCAACCCAGGAATAAATACCACTTGATTATGGTGAATGAGTTTTGAATGTATTGTTGGATTCTGTTTGCTAATATTTTGTTAAGGATGCTTGCATCTATGTTCATCAGAGATATTGGTCTCTTTTTTTGTGTGGTGCCTTTATTAGGTTTTGATATCAGGCTAATTGTGGCCTCATACAGTGAATTTGAAAGTTTTCCTTCCTCCTCTATTTTTTGGAATAGTTGAGAAGGATAGGTATTAACTCTTTTTTAAATGTTTGGTAGAATTCATTTGTGGAGCCATGTAGTCCTGGGCTTTTGTTTTCTGGGAGTGTTTTCATTACTGATTCAATTTCATTGCTGATAATCAATCTGTTCAAATTTTCTATTTCTTTCTGATTCTGTTTTGGGAGATTATATATTTCTAGGAATTTATCCATTTCTTCTAAGATGTACAATATTTTTGCATATAATTTTTCATATTATTCTCTTATAAACTTTGTATTTCTGTGGTGTTGGTATTTCTCCTCTCTCATTTCTGATTTTGTTTAGTAGTTCCATTCTATAAAGCATAATATTTTAAATTAATTGACTTCAAAGTTGGTACTTGAAGTAGAACAAAAAAAATGGTGAGACTGTTAGGATACATTATTTAGAGTCAAATTATAAATGCAAAAATAATCTTGCATATCTTGAACAGAATGTAGAAGTATATTAAAAGACTGATAATCCTGGCACAAAAACAGACACATAGACCAATGGAATAGAATAGAAACCCCAGAACTAGATCCACAAACGTATGGCCAACTAATCTTTGACAAAGCAGGAAAGAACATCCAATGGAAAAAAGACAGTCTCTTTAACAAATGGTGCTGGGAGAACTGGACAGCAACATACAGAAGGTTGAAACTAGACCACTTTCTCACACCATTCACAAAAATAAACTCAAAATGGATAAAGAACCTGAATGTGAGAAAGGAAACCATCAAAACCCTAGAGGAGAAAGCAGGAAAAGACCTCTCTGACCTCAGCCGTAGCAATCTCTTACTCGACACATCCCCAAAGGCAAGGGAATTAAAAGCAAAAGTGAATTACTGGGACCTTATGAAGATAAAAAGCTTCTGCACAGCAAAGGAAACAACCAACAAAACGAAAAGGCAACCAACGGAATGGGAAAAGATCTTTGCAAATGACATATCGGACAAAGGGCTAGTATCCAAAATCTATAAAGAGCTCACCAAACTCCACACCCAAAAAGCAAATAACCCAGTGAAGAAATGGGCAGAAAACATGAATAGACACTTCTCTAAAGAAGACATCCGGATGGCCAACAGGCACATGAAAAGATGTTCAGCGTCGCTCCTCATCAGGGAAATACAAATCAAAACCACACTCAGGTATCACCTCACGCCAGTCAGAGTGGCCAAAATGAACAAATCAGGAGACTATAAATGCTGGAGAGGATGTGGAGAAACAGGAACCCTCTTGCACTGTTGGTGGGAATGCAAATTGGTGCAGCCGCTCTGGAAAGCAGTGTGGAGGTTCCTCAGAAAATTAAAAATAGACCTACCCTATGACCCAGCAATAGCACTGCTAGGAATTTATCCAAGGGACACAGGAGTACTGATGCATAGGGGCACTTGTACCCCAATGTTCATAGCAGCACTCTCAACAATAGCCAAATTATGGAAAGAGCCTAAATGTCCATCAACTGATGAATGGATGGAACTGGAGAGTGTGATGCTAAGTGAAATAAGCCATACAGAGAAAGATACCATATGGTTTCACTCTTATGTGGATCCTGAGAAACTTAACAGGAACCCATGGGGGAGGGGAAGAAAAAAAAAAAAAAAGAGGTTAGAGTGGGAGAGAGCCAAAGCATAAGATACTGTTGAGAACTGAGAACAAACTGAGGGTTGATGGGGGGTGGGAGGGAGGAGAGGGTGGGTGATGGGTATTGAGGAGGGCACCTTTTGGGATGAGCACTGGGTGTTGTATGGAAACCAATTTGACAATAAATTTCATATATAAATTAAAAAAAAAGAAAATACTTGATGGTAACATGCTCACAATTTTAAATAGTAATTAAATGAACTATCATTTAAAAAAAAAAAAAAGACTGATAATCCATGACCAAGTGGGATTTATTCCAGAAATGCAAATGTAGTTTATAGCATTAAATAAAAGTATTAATATAATTCACCATATTTATAGGTCAAAGGAGAGAAACTGATGTTCATCTTGATTGATGCCAAAAATGCATTTAATAAAGTTTAATATCCATTTTCAATGAAAACATTCAGTAAAGTAGAATTAGATGAATATTTCCTTAACTCATTAATGTCTGGGGTAAAATAAAGGGGCCACTAATATATTAAAACAAGGAGTTCAATAAGAGCTGGAATAGAAGCAGCAAAATTGTCATTTTTGCAGGTTATTTTAATCTATATATACATAAAATTAATAGTTGGCTTATATACAAAAAAATCCCTAATAATAAAATATGTTGGCAGACAACATGTTGATTTCAATAGCCACAAAAATTTAAATTACATAAGAAAACATTAACAACAAGTGTTATATGAAGAAAATGATCAAACTTTATTGAGATCTGTTTGACTCTAAATACAGTGTTAATCACTATACTGCATATATTCATACATATTAATTTATAGATAAAGGTAGCATTTTGTGGGGTTTTTTGTTTTGTTTTTAGATTTTTATTTATTTATTTATTTTAATTTCCAAGACAGAGAGAGAAAGAGAGAGAGCGAGCCCAAACAGGGAAGGGGCAGAGAGAGGAAGACAGAGGATCTGAAGCAGGCTATGGGCTATCAGCACAGAGCTGGATGGGGGCTCAAACTCACTAACTGTGAGATCATGACCTAAGCTGAAGTCAGGCACTTAACAGACTGAGTCACCTAGGCACCCCAAGGTAGCATTTTGAATAAGTGGTAAAGAAAGGTCATTCAGGGGCGCCTGGGTGGCTCAGTCGGTTGAAGGTCTGACTTCAGCTCAGGTCACAATCTTGCGGTCTGTGAGCTCGAGCCCCACGTCGGGCTCTGGGCTGATGGCTCAGAGCCTGGAGCCTGCTTCTGATTCTGTGTCTCCCTCGCTCTCTGCCCCTCCCCCATTCATGCTCTGTCTCTCTCTGTTTCAAAAATAAATAAACTTTAAAAAAAATTTTAAATAAAAAAATAAACAAAAAAAAAAGAACGGTCATTCAGTAAGGGTTTGGGACAATAGATTAGTCATCCAGCAAAAAACAAAAACAAAAAACATACAGATCCAGACTTTAACTCCTTTTGCGTAAATACCTCCTAGATATATCACAGATGTAAGTGTGATAGATGGAACAAAAGTACTAGAGGGAAAAAAATGAGTAAATGTTTTTCCCTTTGAGATATGGGAGACTTTTAAAAAATTGTTTAATGTTTATTTATTTTTGAGAGAGAGACAGAGCATGAGTGGGGGGAGGGGCAGAGAGAGAGGGAGACAAAGAATCCAAAGCGGGGTCCAGGCTCCGAGCTGTCAGCACAGAGCCTGATGAGAGGCTTGAACCCGCCCATTGCATCATGACCTGAGCCGAAGTCTGATGCTTAACCAACTGAGCCACCCAGGTACCCCATAAAAAATTGTTGTTTAAGTTTATTTATTTATTTTGAGAGAGACAGAGACAGCATGAGTCGGGGAGGGGCAGCAAGATAGGGAGAGAGAGAATCCCAAGCAGGCTCCCCACTGACAGCACAGAACCCGATGTGGGGCTTGAACACAAGCAGCTGTGAGATCATGACCTGAGCCAAAACCAAGAGTCACTTGCTTAGTTGACTGAGCCACCCAGGTGCCCTGAGATATGGCGAACTTTTTAAAACCATGTCACAAAAACTCAGAAACCAAAAAGGATAAGACTGTTAACTTTGATCTTTTAAACTTTTGCATTGCAGACAACCAAATAGAAAACGAACTCCTAATTCACACTATATGGAAGGGAGAGAGACAGATGACAAATTAGAAAAATGTTTCGGAAAATGATATATAACAAAGTGCTAATACACACACACACATATGTACACACACACATACATACATACCTTTATGGGGGAAAAAAAACAAAAGAAAGATGACAAAAGAATATGAACAGGAAATTTATAAAAAGAAGTAATCCAAATAACCAATAAGCATAGGAGATGCTTAATTTTATTAGGAATCAAATACTAGCTAAGTAAACTATTAATGAAATATTATTGTTTGGTCCTCAACAAATATTGAAAAAGTTAATAACATTCAGAGTTGGATATAGTCTCAGGAAATGTATACTTTCATGTCCTACTGGTGAGAATGTAAATTGGTACAATATTTCTAGAGGATAGTTCGGCAATATTCATAAAAATGACCCAAAATCACACGTGCATGAATTTATCCAAAAGAAATAAAGGAATAAGTGAGAATAGATATATTCTCACAGGATACTCATCGTGGCTTTGTTTATAATGGTAGAAATTTAGAAATAGCCTAGATAAGTTGTGTCAAGGTGACACATGAATTCAGTAGAATACACTGAAGCCTGTAGGCTAAGAGGTAGGCTGGCCACCGCCCCTCTGGTCCCTCCATGCTCTCCAGGCTGTGCTCACTGAACCTAGCGCCCAACCATGGTGTACCCCCTGGATCAGGCTATTGGCCTCTTTGTGGCCATCTTCCACAAGTACTTGGGCGGGGAAGGCGACAAGAACACCCTGAGCAAGAAGGAGTTGAAGTTGCTGATCCAGAAAGAGTTCACCATTGGCCCAAAGGTGCAGGATACTGAAATTGCAAAGCTCATGGATGACCTGGACTGGAACAAGGACCAGGTGGTAAACTTCCAGGATTATGTCACCCTGATTTTCATCTACAATGATGCCCTTAAGGGCTGAAAATAAATCAGGAAGGTGGAGACACCATCTATAGGGCCTGCCTAAGTCAAATCCAGTGGTGGGTAATTGTTCGATAATTATCTTTTTTTTTTTTTTTTAGTTAAAAAAAAAAAAAAGAAAACACTGCAGCCTGTAAAACAAGAAAGTAGTTCTTTATTGATGGGTATGGAAGGATCTCAGGGACAAATGATTAACTGAAAAGAAGCATGTTTCAGAATAGTGTATACAGTGAGTGATTTCCCTTATGTAAAATTGCACTAGTCTACAAATGGGTAGATATGCCTAAAGGATGTTCACCACACTGTCAGATGTTTTCTCTGGTGATGTGCTTTTAGGTGTGTATTTATTTTCTTATTTGTACTCTTCTGTCACGTTAGAATTTTGTTCAAGTTGCTGGAGGGGTGGTGTGGGGGGGATGGGCTAAATGGGTGATGGGTACTAAGGAGGGCACTTGTTGCGTTGAGCACTGGGTGTTAAATGTAAGTGATGAATCACTAAATTCTACTCCTGAAACCAGTATTACACTACATGTTAACTGACTATAATTTAAAGAAAATTTTGAAAAAAAAAAAAAAAAAACGAATTTTGTTCATAGTGAGCATATATCATGTTCTAAAAACAGCAAGCTAGTTTTAAAAATTGATGCTATCAAGGGGCGCCTGGGTGGCTCAGTCGGTTAAGCGGCCGACTTTGGCTCAGGTCACGACCTCGCGGTCCGTGAGTTCGAGCCCCACGTCGGGCTCTGTGCTGACAGCTCAGAGCCTGGAGCCTGTTTCAGATTCTGTGTCTCCCTCTCTCTCTGACCCTCCCCTGTTCATGCTCTGTCTCTCCCTGTCTCAAAAATAAATAAAACGTTAAAAAAAAAATAAAAATAATTGATGCTATCAAAAAAGTATTAAGAAAAAAAAGGACCCTAAATGCAGCTCCTTTCAGCACAGCAATGCATATGCTAGCAGATATGGCAACAGTGATCATGTCAAGGAAAACTTCTCCCCTAAAATACCTTCAGTCCTAAAGAAAATGTAAAAAAAAGCTCAGCGACTACAGGAGATGTTGAGAGGTATTTAGTACACTAGAAATAAGGTGGTTAGTATAAGGTCAGATGACTGCCTACCCAATAATGTGGCTTCAAAGAGTTCACATTGTATCTATGTATCTTTTTAAAACATTCTACCACCAAAATATTACATTTATACTCAAAAGTGGCATTCATTATTCAGAAACTTAAATCTCTTGAATTTACAAAATATATTTGCATTCCTGTGAAATATACAAAAATGATGCATCACAAGGCTAGGAAAAGCATCATTGTAAAGCACTATCGACTTCCATGAAGGAAACATTCGGAGTCACAGGCCAAAATATAGCATCAGGGCAAGGCCAAGTCTATTGCACACTATTGCCAGAAGCATATTTCTGGCAAAGAAACAGAATTGGTAATTGAACTATCAAATGTATTTCAAGAGGGTATTATGTTCCAAAAGAGTGGAATGGATTTAGAAATAGATTTAGTCTTCCCTTCCATGACCTGAAGCATTTCTGAACACAAGCAGCTATTAGGTAAGATCTCCATAATATTGAGAGCAACAAATGTGGGTTTATATTTCTTTTTTTTTTCTTTAAGTCTTTATTCTAATCCTAGTATAGGTAACACAGTGTTATACTGGTTTCAGGTGTACCATGTAGTGACTCAATACTTCCATATGACACCTGGCGCTCATCACAAGTGCACTCCTTAATCCCCGTCACCTATTTCACCCATCCCCCCACCTACCTCCCCTCTGGTAACCATCAGTTTGTTCTCTGTAGTTAGGAGCCTGTTTCTTTGTTTGCCTCTCTCTCTTTCCCCCTTCGTTCATTTGCTTTGTTTCTTAAGTTCCACATGTGAGTGAAATAATATGGTATTTTGTCTTTCTCGGACGGACTTATTTTGCTTAGCATAATACTGTCTAGTTCCATCCACGTCATTGCAAATGGCAAGATTTCATCCTTTTGTGTGGCGATTCCATTGTGTATGTACCGCATCTTCTTTATCCATTCATTGGTCAGTGGATACTTGGGCTGTTTCCATAATTTGGATATTGTAGCTAATGCTGCTATAAACATCCGGGTGCATTTTTGTATTTTGGGGGTAAACACACAGTAGTGCAATTGCTGAACTGTAAGGCAGTTCTATTTTTAACTTTTTGAGGAATTTCCATACTGTTTTCCAGAGTGGCTGCACCAGTTTGCAACAGCGCGAGAGAGTTTCCCTGTCTCCACATCCTTTTCAACACCTGTTGTTTCTCGTGTTGCTGATTTTTGTCATTCTGACAGGTGTGAAGTTGTATCTCATTGTTTTGATTTGCATTTCCCTGATGATCAGTGATACTGAGCATCTTTTCATGTGTCTGTTGGCCATCTGGATGTCTTCTCTGGGGGAATGTCTGTTCATGTCCTGTGCCCATTTTTTAAATTGGATTATTTGTGTTTCGGGTGTTGAGTTTATAAGTTCTAGTATTGGATACTAACCCTTTAGCATATATGTCATTTGCAAATATCTTTTCTCATTCCATAGGTTGCCTTTTTGTTTTGTTGTTTCCTTTGCTGTGAATAAGCTTTTTATTTTGATGAATTCTCAATCATTTAGTTTTGCTTTTGTTTCTCTTGCCCTGGGAGACATATCTAGAAAGAAGTTGCTATGGTCAGAGTAAAAAAAGTTACTGCCTGTGTTGTCTCCCAGGATTTTTATGGTTTCAGGTCTCACATTTAGGTCTTTAATCCATTTTGAACTTGTTTTAGTGTATGGTGTAAGAAAGTGGTCTAGTTTCATTCTTTTGCATGTTGCGGTCCAGTTTTTCCAACACCTTTGTTGAAGAGACTGTTGTTTCTGCCATTGGATATTCTTTCCTGCTTTGGTGAAGATTAATTGACCATACAGTTGTGGGTTCATTTCTGGTTTTCTATTCTGTTCTATTTATTTATTTACTTATTAAATGTTTATTTTTGAGACAGAGGGAGAAACAGATTACGAGGGGGGAGAGAGAGAGAGAGAGAGCGCGCGCGAGTGACCATGATACACAGAATTGGAAGCAGGATCCAGGCTCTGAGCTGCCAGCACAGAGCCCGATGAGGGGCTCAAACCCATGAACCGTGAGATCATGACCTGAGCTGAAGTCGGACGCTCATCCAACTGAGCCACCCAGGCGCCCCGTTCTGTTTTATTTATGGATCTACGTGTCTATTTTTGTGCCTTATCAAAATACCAGTAGCATTTTTCACAGAGCTAGAACAAACAATCCTAAAATTTGTATAGAACCCCCACAAAAGACCCCAAAGAGACAAAGCAACCCTGAAAAATAAAAGCAAAGGTGGAGGCATCACACTTCCAGATGTCAAGCTATATTGCAAAGCTATAGTGATCAAAACCAGTATGGTTTTAGCACAAAAATAGACACACAGAGCAGTAGAACAGAATGGGCTTTATATTTCTTAAAATTTTTCACATATAGTTATTTAAGGTTTAGTTTTTTCATGTAATGAAACTGCCAAAAGGCATCCTCTAAATAAAATGTTGTCTTAAATAAGCCTCCTTAACACTGTATATACATTGAGTCAAATTACATATTCTACTGCAATTTGATTGAGAAATTTTAGACACTGCTGTCTAAAATTCTATTCCAGTTCTAGCAGTGTTACACTGTTTGGTTTGAACAAATGTCTTTATTTCTAGAAGATTTTGTCAGCCCAATAAACAGACAGAGAGCTGGGGCACCTGGGTGGCTCAGTTGGTTAAGTGACCGACTTCAGCTCAGGTCATGATCTCATGGTTGATGAGTTGGAGCCCCGTGTTCAGCTCTGTGTTGACAGCTCAGAGCCTGGAGCCTACTTTAGATTCTGTGTCTCCCTCTTTCTCTGCCCCTCCCCCACTCACACTCTGTCTCTGTCTCTCTCTCTCTCAAAAATAAATAAACATTAAATTTTTTTTTTTTTTTTAAATAGAGACAGAGAGGGAAGAGAACATTGCCTTATGCCACAGGGGGGCAGTAAGGGTTGGTTAATGAGATAATATTGATAAACTATTTTTGGGAAAAGGAAAAAAATGCTATGGGTGCACTTATTCCATATTGATAACTAAAGGGAAAAAATGAAAGCATGTGTAAACTTTAATATTTTTGGTGTTTCACATTCATAGACAAATTCTACCTTGTTGCTTTGCCAAGGAAAGTAAACAAAAACCAAAAAACCTTCAGCTTTAGAAACCCAAGTTCCCAAGGTCAGAGAAATCCTAACAGAGGACAAGCTTACCACATTGTTCCAATGTTGTTCAGCCTTATCTATTCGTTAATCACTAACTTCTGGATCTCATTTTTGTAAGGAATGTGCATAAGCCAATTTCATTTAAAAACGGAAATGCAGAACCACATATTTTGGAAAAGGGATTGAAAATAGAAAACTCACTTAGATTAGTCAAACAGCTCTCTAAATTCTATTTAGCAAAACAAAGATTATCATGGGCTGCTAGTCTTTATTAGTTGCAAAATCTCTAAAGTCAGTGCAAGGTTCTAGGACCAACTGTAGAGCCTCATAGAAACCTGCATATTTCCCCGAGGGACCAATTCATTTATAGTTTACAGCCCTAACTCTTAGTCTAATGCAATTTGGAATATCTACAACAATAACGGCTTATCCTTTAGAATTTCTTTTTCAGTTTTGGCAGATTTACTAACCAAGCTCCCAGGAGCAGTACAGTGGGAGCAGTGATTCTCAAACAGAGTACAGAGTCAACCCCAGGCCCTCCACTCCTCACTCCTCACTCAGGGGTGAATGAGAATCTCCAGGGTATGTCAATGGAAAAGAATTCAATATTATAATTGGGGTGCCTGGGTGGCTCAGTCGGTTAAGCATCCAGCTCTTGGTTTTGGCTCAGGTCATGATCTCTCGGTTTGTGAGTTCAAGCCCCATGTCGGGCTCTCTGCTGTCAGTGCAGAGCCTGCTTGGGATTCTCTCTCACTTCCTCTCTCTCTGGTCCACCCCCACTTGTCCTCTCTCTCTCTCAAAATAGATAAATAAACTTTAAAAAATTATAATTGTATATTTTTGCAGAAA